CTCAAATATTCTCACTAGTGTCGATAGAATATACAGGTCTGTTACATCAATACTGGCCATAGTTACATTGATTTTATTACATAGATAATTTTTGTAAATTTTGACATCTTTCAACAACAACAACAAAATGAGTAAAACTGACCATGATTGGAGCTCTGGATGGAATCATGATAATATTGTCATCACAGTATGCAAGCTACAGATACAGATATTTCAACCTCATTTAAATGTTCGTGTCTCATCTGTTTTTAATACGCAGTTTGAGGGAAAACTTTAAAACATTTTAAACTATGGATTTTTTTTCTAATTCCTTTGATAAGGTTCACTATACAGAATTACAGATCACTCAGTCCTTTCTTTTCCTTCTGCTTCATCTGTGGCCTGGTTGCAGAGAAAGCAAGCAGTTTTGAATAAATGGGAAAACACCCAATTGTGACTTTCTGCTGGTGTTCATCCAATGCTATTTTGCTTTACTATCCAAGCCTACCTTTTTGATATTTTATTGCCGGTTCCATTTTGAAAGCGTTTCGAACGAATGCAAGCATACATTCATCTGTATTCCTTCGCTTGTTTATTTTGTTGTTTTGTTTGTTTATTTATTTGTTTGTTTGTTTGGAGAATAAACCCAAAGACCAAGATAAAATACTTTGTTTTTGAGGGGTCCTCAAAATGGCTCTGAATGCATAAAGGCAGACAATAAATAGTAACATAATTAATTGAAAAAAAGACAAAATACACGCACACACACACACACACGCAGACATACACATTGACTGTTGTGAATATATTGACCATTAGAATTGACAAGAATTGAGGCTAGTATTTATACAGTACTCAATATTATCAACAAGCAAACATCCAGTTAATGTAGCTCTCCTGCTCAGCCTTTGTCGGTTAAAAGTCTTTGCAAAGATCTCAGTGACGCCTTGAAGCTCACAGTGAACGAAATAAATGCGTCCCCAAACTCGAATGATCCTGAATGAGTATATGCTGATTATGATTTAGAGGCTGCTATTGCTTTTGAACGTGCGGGGGCTTTCTATGTGTCCAGGGGCCCCGTGTTGTGTTTAAAGGGTAGTTGGGGCATAAATACTAAATTAATCATGCTTTAGCACAACTTGCTGGGTACTGAAATTTGCTTATGGAGGCCTATGATCACATCAAATATTAATAGCTTTTACGCAGATTCGGCATTGTACCAACAGAGCACAGGCAACAAAGAGCAGTGAGGGAGGGGTCACTTATAATGTAGTATGCAGCCACATTTTGAGATTTAGGTAAACAAGTTACTTATATTATAATGTAATGTTACTATTAAGAGCCATTTTGTAGCCGTTGTTTTACACAATTACTTCTAATTAGCTTCCAAAGAAGGAAAAGGAGGTAAAATATTCAAGTCATTCCAATTGGGAATTATAACATATCCATACGACCGACTTATTGACACCCAGGGGTCTCTATAATAATGAATAAAATTGCATTACACACTATGTTTTCACTCCACAGAAAATAGATTGAGAGACTTGTTTTTTGAATCTATGAATTCTTAGCACATCTTTAGACTCAAGGGAGAAGAAACATCATATCAAACCGAGTCTCGCTTCGGACATCATTTTTCTCTTTGACATAAATCAAAAGGTTTGGCCTCGTCTCAGCTGTTCTAAACTTGTTAGCAGCTATTTTCAAAGCTCACACTGAGACAGGAGCCGCCATTGGAATCAAAGGGAGGTGATTATTGGAAGAATCTACCACACCAATATCGCATTTCTTAGATATAGAGTGATAGCTCATAGAATCAGAGGGAAATGAAATCTCCAACATGTAAAATATTAACTTTTTCAAATGTAAATGTATGTTTTATTAGATATGATTGGATTGTTTTGCTTTCCTTGCCTTGGGTGGTAAGTTCAATTGCACCACAGTAGGTAAATGACTTAACAGAAGGAGACATTTGCATACACCTATTGTGGGCAGAGGAGGGGGCCACGTGAGGAAAAGCTCATGTGATAAACAGTTCATTGGCCACTATACTCTACGTGGATTAAACCATATTAATCACAATTATCTCTGTGAGCCTGACAGCAGCACCGTAGGAGGCAGGGGAACCTTGAACCACTGGGCACTGATTGGGTTATGTGTTCAGTGTAATTCTGGAGTGAAGGATTGTGGGAGCTGTAGTTTTTGAGAAAACCTCTTTTCTCTGCATGTAAAAGAAAATGGGACGCTCCAAATGTTTTACTCTGGTGTCAAGCTGAAAATTATGGGCCTCCTGTGGTTGGGTAAATGTACAGTGTCTTTGGATCTAAACCATTTCATACCATGGTGAAGTGAGGTTTCCAATGCAAATTATTGTTGACTAATACGGTTTCAATCCCATGTTTGATTGCAGAATCCAAATCAGTCCGCATCCGACGTCACCATAGCAACACACAGCATTGAGCACTAATAGAGTTAACATTAAAGTTTGCATTTTGTTGTCACGTACTAGGTCTGTTACACAGCAGGAAGTTGAATTAAGTTGCCAAACATACTACATTGTTTCTTAAATGTAGAAAAAATTATTCGTTTTGTTTATGGGCGTTTTTCTTTTGGTCACGACAACTGTTGCTAGGGAGCTTTTGCTGTGTTTTGGTCAACACTCTGATATCATGGTAGAAATGTACCAGTACGGTTGTATGTTTTAGACACTTACAGCACAAGGCACATATTTATAAAAGTTTGACTCGATGAATTAAGTGCTTATGGTTTTGTTGAGGTAGAATTGATATTTAAATGAGTTAGTTCGTTTAGTAAGATTCATCATATATTGTCTGGTTTAGAAGAACCCAATACGTCTTATGCATGTTAGTGTTCATGTTCAGAATTAGTGTTTTTAAGGACCAAATATACCATACCCCTCCTTTCTGTGCCATTTCACCCAATCCTGCTTGTATCGTATTGTAATAATAATGCATCAAACTTATATAGCGCTTTTTTGGACACTCAAAGACGCTTTACAAAACACATAGAAATAAACATTGAAAAACAAAATTAAGGAAAGGCAAGCTGAAACAGGTGGGTTTTTAGGAGAGATTTAAAGTTCTGTAGTGAGTCTGAGTTTATGATTGGTTGAGGGAGTGAGTTCCAGAGAGTGGGGGCAGCTGCAGCAAAGGCTCGGTCCCCCAGGGTTCAGTGTTTAGTCCTGAGGGGAGTGAGGAGGTTGGAGTCAGTGGATCTGAGGCGGTGGGACGGACAGGTAAGAGGGGGCCAGGTTATGGAGGGACTTGTAGGTGAGGAGGAGGACCTTGAATTGGATGCGGTATGGAACAGGAAGCCAGTGGAGTTGTTTGAGGACAGGGGTGATGTGGTCTCTGGAGCGTGTGTGGGTGAGCAGGCAGGCGGCGGAGTTCTGGATGTATTGTAGTTTTTGAAGATGAGTGGAGGGGAGACCGAAGAGGAGGCTGTTGCACTAGTCCAGTCTAGAGGTGATGAAGGCATGAACCAGTATTTCAGCAGAGGATTGAGAGAGGGAGGGGAGGAGGCGTATTCACTTGTTTGTTTGGGAGTAATTGTGTTGGAAAATGTACAGTATAAATCGACTGATCAACACTTATATTGTAGATGTTTTCTGTATTCTATAATTGTATTTTCTGTTTCTGTATGTAACTAGTTCCTGGCTCTAAAAATGTTCACATGCATGTAATTTCGGCCTTGGTCACAACTTTTCTTCCCGTTTTCCTTCCCTCATTCAGCTTTCAGCTCCAAGCCTCAAATAGTGACTCAAAGGGCCTTTTCATACAAACACTGTAAAAGACCACATATTTTCAAATAAGATAAAGACATTCTTATTTTACTTGTACAACTATTTTAAGAAAAACAATGTATTGAATTATGAACCCAAAAAGTTAGAAACCCCAACTTTAAAAGGGTAAAGTTCTTTCCACAGTTATCAGTTTAAGCAGAGCACTTTCATAATCATGCGCTTGTAGGGAAAATGCTGTAGTCGATCTATTTCTTAGTCAATTGTTTCCAACAGTTTTGTATTAGTTAGTTATATATCTGTACTTTTAACCTTGTTTTTTTATGTACTTATCTGGTGACTTTTGCAGATGTATTGGATGATCAGTCTTCAAGAATGTTTAATTGTTGTAATATTTTTGTTAAGAATGAAATAAGAGACAAAGTATTACAGTCACAGTCCATTTGTATTGTGGTGATACAGTATAAATCATCCAGACATTGTGCACACATGAAAATTGGGATATTGTGAAAGGATCTTCTCTGCGTGGTCCAATAAGTCCTTTTCTCACCACTGCAAAAAAGAAAAACAGAATTAGAAAATTGGCAGAGACAGGCATGCAGTGAGAACAAGCCTTACCGTTCTTAGTGTAACATTTACCTTACCCATGTGTTCATGTAGGTGCAGAAGTTTAGAAGCTTACTCTTTAGAAGATGAAGTTTTTTGGTTTTTTGGAATGGTCTTAAAATCTTTTTTCATTCACTGCCTTCTTTTTTCTCCTTTTTTTCACAGTTTCTTTTTTTTTTCTTATTTGTTTTTTTGGCAGGATGTTTTTAGACCATTCCAATTCTTTATTTTTTACACGTCAAAATAAAGCCAGGAACTTAGAAGCCAAGCATTTTTGTTTACAAATTATTCAAATCAAAAACATAAAATATTTACACATGAGCATTGTAACCATCCAAACTAACAGTCTGCAAAAGCGGTGGTATTAAATTCCAACATCTTTCTTAAAGAAAAATGTAAACTAATAGGTCTAATTGATCAGCCTTCACGTATCCAGACAACTGTTCTTTGTGGCAAAAAATACATAACTACAAACTACATTAAGAGCATTTAAAAAAATTATGTTTGCATGAGAAACATTAAAAATAAAATCTAAATTCAGTACGGTTTGATTGCAGTAAGAAGTTAGTTATAGAAAACAAAAGTCCATCCAAATAGAAATAAGATGTTTCTGACATCAGGGTTGAAGAGTTGAAAGTTGATGGGACACTGATCTTCATCTTCTCCAGGAGCGAGGCTCGTCATCCTCTTCATCATCGTCCTGCAGCAACGCATCATCACTCAGCGACTCGTCTGGATACTGCAAACAGGAGGAAGTGTTCAGACTTCAGAATAATACTGTCATTTCCTCAATCTTCTTTTGGGTTTAATAAACGTTTTTCATCACAAGCTAATACATATACAATGGCTCCCTCTGGTGGACACAAAAGTAACAAGTACGTGGTTTATGTTGGGGGAAAACACGCTTTTAAAAAGGAACCATTTAACCCTTGTGCTCCAAAACTAACAGCCACAAGTGACTAAAAGTCGAAATAATACCCTAAATTAGATTCTAAGAGGGTCTAAATTAACCAGGGCTGGCCAAGTTGGGAAAAGAAAATCAAATTTCAGTTTGAAAAAAAATATTTAGGGGCTTTTTTCGAATTACTATGTTGGGTCAATTTGACCTGAAGATAGAACTCTAAGGTTATACAGCCGGAGCGGATAACAGCATTTGCAATAACTGCAGATTGTAAACTTAGACTAAAACTTAGAGTTGCAATATTACAACACAATTAGACAGATTATTGAAGTTCTTTACGGCTGAAGTGACTGAAAAGGTATGAACTTTACATCATCTTCATCTTGTTCAGCATCGTCTGCATTCACATGACTGAGATTCACAGCCGGTTTGTGCCAAGCAAGACGCAGAGTCTGGTTATTCAGCCGCACACCGTGTATAGCCGCCTAACAAAAAGTGTAAATATTAAAACACAATTATGTATAATAAATATCATGCGAAGGTTGATACTGAATAACCCACCAGTTCAGCCTCAGCTCTCGTCTTGTACGTGATGACTGCAGTCAAGCTGCCATCGTTGATTTGACAATCTTCAATGTCTCCAAATTGCTTTAGGAACAAAAACATTTTCAACCTTTACATTTTTTTAACTAGATAAAGAATCAGATTTATTTGCATTTGTAAGTAACAGAAGTAACAAACTAGGAATTTCCTTTGGATCATGGGGCAAACAAGTTAAAAAAGTATGTGATAGATATAGAGCAGGGGTGTCAAACCGGTTCCAGGAAGGGCCCAGGTAGCTGCAGTTGTTCACCTGAGGAAATCTGAGTCTGTGTGCTCTTGCTCAGGTTGAAATGAAAAACTGCAGCCACACCAGCCCTTTGAGGACCAGGTTCACACCCCAGATGGGCCTTGCATTAAAAAAAAAAATCGTCTACTATACAAGTACACTAAGGTATTCTAAAACTAAAACATGTCCCTCAGAATATAGTTGTTCATTGTTTTATTATCATAACATGTCATGTTGGTTCACTGCAGAACACATTTCATATGAAGTTCTTCTACAGCCACCAGAGGGCAATATGACCCTGAGAATCATCAATACTGTTTGCAAATTGCCTCAGAGCCACACTGGACACCTCGAGACTTACCGCAAAGTGAGGCAGGATGTTCACGTTCTCAGAGGAGCTGAAGCCGGAGATCTCCAGCGCTCTGGGTCTGTAGTCCAAGACTGCGTGTGATGGGAGCCCTCGGCCTCGGCCCCTTCCCCCTCCCCTTCCTCTCGCCCGCAGACCGCCGCGACCGCGAGGATGCTGCCCCCGGCCCCGAGACGAAGACAAGAGCCCCCTTTTGGCAGCCTTCACGGAAACAAATTGAGTTAGTATCTGGATTCGACACCTGGGTTGAGCTAGACAGTCAAGTAAATTCCTACTTTGGTTTAGTTTCTGTACATTAATAAACTACACAATATTATACAACTTTAAAAATAATCATATTCTATTTCTCTGATTTCGTATGGTTTAGGAATTTAACTAAAAAAATCCATTATCAATCAATCATTATATTCATTAACAACTTTTCTCCAATTCACAAGCTTAATTCAGTTCAGAGTGGCATTTAAAAAAATTAAACAGTATTGTGTCTCAATCATTAATTGCACCACAGATGTCATTTTAAATAAAACAGCCATATAATAGTGCTCTACCCAAGTGTAAAAGCACAAGTCTGACTTCCTGTTCTAAATATTGAGTTCATTACTAGATAAGGATCTGAAACGAGGCGTCTCCTCACAGGGATTATGAGCCATACCTCGATTTGCAGCTGTGTGTACTTTATCTTCAGGAGCGCTGTGTCTTCTCCAGACTGAGTCTTCTTGTACAAGTCCAACTCCGCATCCAACAGCTCCTTTTGTGCCTTTACACAGAAAATCACATTAACATTGAAAATATCATTTGAAAGTTTAAAATATAGCCGTTTTTTTTAAGGGTTAAACTTTATCTGAAATTGACAAGCACTGAAATGTAAGAGATGGAGTTCTTCTTAAAGACGTGTGGGTAAAGTTTGTTGGGAACCTGGGCTGGAAAATGGCATGCCCCATTCTTTCTTGCTGAGAGGTTCTAACTACTGCACCATGTGTCAAGAAAATCCACCCACCACCCACAAGAGGGGGGTAAGTGGATAGATCAAACTGCTAAGATAAGCACTCGCAAACACATATACACCCATGTAATGTCTACAATGTCTGTTCTTTGTTGCCATCTTATTTATGTACATTAACTACGCAATATTATACAACTTTAAAATGCAGTTTCTCCAATGTGGTTTCACTGCAATTGGCAAATAATCTTGTATCTTTTAGCGTTAGTTTGTATGACTGTATTTTCACCATAAAAAAGGAACATAATCCATACTTCAAAATAATTTAGAAAGTTAGACTAAGCTAACTGCTCCCACAGGTCACTACAATCTCCCCCGCAGAACCATGCTTTACCCCCCCACAGTAAATCACTTTGCTTCTTCACCTACTAATTGTTATATCTCCACGTGCTGAGGGCGCGTACCTGTGCTTTGGTCTTTGCCAATCGAATGGGAGCCACGGCTGAAATGCCTTTAATCTCCTCTTGTAGTTTCGTGATGCTTTTGGTTAAGGTGCTCAACGTCTCCATAATCTTCGCTTTATCTTCAGCTTTCATTGATTTATTCTTCTCGAGTTTAGAGATGAGGAGCTGTAAGGGGAGAAAAGGCCAAACGATCAACATCAAACACTGCCAACACAAGCGAAAAGATGAAGGGAAAAAAAACGTCTGTGGGGGAAAAAATAAATGTTACACGTGATACAACTAGTGGAAACTATGTAATAATTCTTACCCTGAGCCGAGTTGTCCTTTTAAATCTACACAACTACATGAAAACACTGTATATGGTAAAAGTGTGAAATGAACGTGGAAGGAAAACCAACCTCCTTTACCTTCTGAGTTTCAATGTGCTTCTCTAGAATCTCCTGTTTCTTCTTCCTCACATCCTGCTGTAATTTTAGTGCGTCCTGTTGAAAAGAACCACCACAATTCAGACCAGAGAATTTTGTTTGGATTTTAAATTTTGAGATGTTTCGATCCATTTGCACCTGTTTTTTCTTAAGGACTTCTGAGGTTTTCTGAACAGTCTTCAATGCGACAGGATTGTACACAGTTTTTGTAAGACCAGTGGAAGTGGAAAAGACCTGAAAGCAAAAGTCAAATATGAGGATTAGAGAAGCTTTTTCTTTACAGAGTAGTAACTATAACTGCTGATTAAATGCGGGAGTAGAACATTTTCAAACCACAAAAATGCTAGCCTGGCCTTAGCCATCCGTACACTCCGCTCAATCATCATTTCACTGCATGTAACGTCTGGGTCTAGTCCCCATGTTAGCGATTACAATCGGTTGAATTTCGACCGACCATTCAGAGAGCGCGGAAGGCAGGTGTTGTAGTTAGTTGTGGGTGATGTCAAGAGTTTGCGTTGACTGGGAAGGTTGGAGTTTGGTAATGGCGAAAAATGTGATAGTAAAGTAATGGTCTGGTTCTATCAAGAAATTGAAGCCGGAGCAAGGGTAATGTTTAGCAAATACATACGTCACGGTAAACTCAGATCCAATCGTTTCAATCTGCAAAAGGAGGTAACCCCTCCCACCTGTAAACGGAGCTCAAGAGAGCACCTCCAGACCTTAGTATGACATATCATTTGTACTATGGTGTGGTACGACCAGGCTACAAAAATGCAACAAAGCAATAAAACTTTTTTTGGCCTCTGTCACAGCTGTAGATCAGCTTTTTCATACAGAAAATTGGCTGAATGCAGGTGGTCCTCTAGTTTTCAATTAGCTCACTGCCCAAAATGTCAAATATTGATTCATTTGAGATAATAATAATAACAATACTAATAATAATTAATAGTAGTGTAAGCACATACAAAACATTAGATGTTTTGTAATATGATAAAGACAATATATAGTTGTCTGATTAGTTTTACTTTAAAAACATTCATTATAACACAATATTAGCTATGAAAGAACAAACTGAGGTACCCCAGCTTTGAAGTAGGTTTATAATCATTTAATATACCTTTTCTACTGGAGCTGCTGGTTTGGCTGAGAAACCCAAACGTTCCTTCACTGATGGCTTTGAAGAATTCTGTTTAATATAGGAAACGCATTAGCATGTGGATAAATAACGTTTCAGTTTTGTTTTGTGTTTGCCAGTGTTAAAGTAGAAACAATTATTAAGAAAAATAAAAGACAACACCTTATTAATCCAGACATATTAATTTGATTCATTAACAGTCCACAGCAGCACACACCTGAGGTTCAACACTTGAGTCTTGCGTCGGCTCAGGGCTTGGTGTGACGAGGGGCCCAAGGCGGTCTTTGACAGACTGTTTCAGGGATGTCGTTGGTAGCTGTAACAGAAAAAACACACATTATTCTTAATGAACGCAACAGTAATGAGCTATGAAATAATTATATGACCCATGAAGTAATACTGTAAATACTCTAGCATTGCATGATAGTGGAAATGCCATAATACACTGACAAGTTACTTGGTTTGTATCTTCCATTTATTCTTTCGTATCATCAATGGAAATATCATTTTGAAAATTCCACTGCTAATTGCATAATGTACTTATCTCTGAAGTGAAGTAATAATATTAATAGCTCAGAGATGACACTTTGAAGCAACTGCGGTTAAAGTTCCAACTCATCATTCTAATAATATGCACGAGGCAGTGCTTTTCCGCTGCATGTTTTGGTTATTCAAGGTTGAAGCTACAGGCACCGTGGCAAATGCTGATTGGACGGTGCCCATTCCTTCATGCTGTATAATAATAATAAAAGCTCATACCACGGTTTGTTGCAGAGTTTGTTGCAGTTGTGGTGGCGACGACTGCTGCTGTTGCTGCATCTGCGAGTGCTGTTGTAGTTGCTGTGTCTGTGTGTCGCCACTCTCTTCTCGATACCAGTAAACTCTGATGAAGCGGTTGTTGAGCACGGCCTCTGGACTCTGAAAGGCTCGCTTTGCCTCCTCTGGAGCAGCAAACTGGATAAGAGCGCCTTCCGGGTCATTCTTAAAGGCCACCTGTCAGAGAAACATACATTAACCATTAAATATATAAGTGCAGGTATGAAAATGGTATATTTATGATTTTAAAATGACAACAGACAACCAAAGGATTCCTCTTGTCCACTTATTGAATTAACTGGAAGTACTCGAAATGACTTTTTTGTTATATTGGTAAAGATTGTTATTCTTGAAAATCATGTCAATCTTGGGCAGTTCCACGCCTCTTGGCTCTACATCCACCTGCTACATGAGCAAACACAAACCTGTGTTTTGGGATCTACAGATCTTCTTGTATACATTCGGCTGAACTTTATCATCAGTGCAAATTGATATGGCTCACCAGGTGCAACTTTTCATTTAGTTTCCTATAATTATTACACAAAATGTTACAACCTTCTGGAGAATGCCAAAATGGTTTTTAAAACCCACAACACCTTAATATTTCTGTAGCAAATATAACAATCTAACATACAACAACAGTTTAAACAGATACAGATATCGGTTACCTGTAGGTTGACAATGGTGCCAAACTTGCTGAAATGTTCATTGAGTTTGCTTATGTTGTTAAGCTCTGAGGGAATTTGTCGAACCAGCAGTTTGCTGTTCAAAGGATTGAATGGGCCCCGTTTGTAGTAACCGTGGTGATTGGCTTTGTTAAAGTTGGGCCTAAATCAAACGAAGAAAGATATGACATATGGTTAATAAATGTCTTCATTTAAAAACATGTGGGTGAATGGTGTAACTCACTTTTCAAACCATGGTTTCTTAGACAAAATACCACCATCGTGACAGCCGGCTGCCCTTTTTCTAGAGTCAGATTCCATCACAATCCTCATGCTGTTATTTGGAATCTTTTCTGAAGAGATGAAGCAAACATTTTAATACTGACATATTTAAAATTATAACTAAAGAAGAATTTGGTAGCCTACCTCTTGGTGGCTGGTCCACGTCTCCCATTGTGAGGCCAATCAGGTTGGGTCTTTGGGTGTTGCGGTGATGACGGTACACAGGCCTTGATGAACTGGTTATGCTTGGAGCTTCAGGGTTGTATACGTCCGTTTCAAATACTCCTGGGTAAACACAAAAAACTGTTTAATAGAAACTGTTTGACAGTCTAAAGTCATTACACAGCTTTAATGCTTTCTTTAGCTAAAGTTAAGTTAAATTAACACACTGAGCTTATTTTCTCTGACTCCAAACATTAAGAAGTGATCTTGAACTCACCAGGACTAAATAATGGTGGTGGTGGTCCAGGGGGAAGAGCGGGCCGCATCCCAGAGGTGACGATGGTGGGCACCGAGCTGGTGATGGAGTTGGGAGGTGCGTCCATCCCTGAGGGTTGAAGCGGTGGAAGAGGAGGAGGAGGACCTGCACAAAACAAACAGGATATATTTGGTTAGGATTGGAGTCTATAACCCCTAGACATTACAAGAACACATTCAACACTAGCATTGAAAATAGGAATGCGTTTCTATTGTTCCAAAGTTGTGCGTATTTTAGGCATACCTGCTACTGGTGGAAGGCTGGGTGGGAGCGTGCCTGGGGGAGGCACGGGGGGCCGCATGTTCACAGGTGGTGGATTCAGCAGCGGAGGAGGTGGAGGCAGTCCTGGAGGAGGAGGATCCACACCTGGGATAGGCGGAGGTTGGAAAGGCAGCATATTTGGCAAATTCACATCTTCAACCACCACAGGGTCACTTCCATGGTCAAAGGGACACATGTCTCCTCGCATGCAAAAGCCCTTCTCTGCAAATCAAAAAAATAAAGCAAAATTATGCAAAATATTTTTTAAAGCCTTTTTGCAAAAAATATTGAAAATAGTAAATAGTAGTAGTTGCATCATCCTTTTGAATTTTTATGAGCATATATGAGTGACACTATCCCTCTGCTTTGAGTGGACTTCATCTACAACACTTCTACAGCTCATCTGTTCATGAGAATGCAAGAGATTTCACTATTTTCCCACTGCATTTCCTTGCTTAAGAGACTAAGAATAGGAGATGCCTGAGGACATCCATGTTTTTCCTTTGACGGCTGATCGCCTTTCGCTACCCATTTTTGTGAAGAACTGAGAGGCTATACCAACTAAAAGAACAGATTATTTAAAATATGCTCTATAGTACAACGTACAATTCCTGTACATCAGAAATTTCACCAAAAAGGTTTGCCAGGTACTTATTAGATCAGTGTTCCTCAGATGTTATTTTTCAGACAGCTGTGAGACCAAAGAATACTGCACAAAATATATGAAAAAAAATGGAGGGACAAAGACATTAAATGCTCAATTCTGCATGTTGTAAACTGGAGATCTGCATGCAAGGAGAATCCCTAATCTAAAAGATTCAGGATCTGCACAATTAGGATGCCATAGTCAAGTTCATGACCATACCGTCATAGTCGCGACATCTTTTCCTCTGCAGTGGAGGCGGCCCACGGGTGAACGGCCCGCGCTCCACAGGATGTTCAGGTCGAAACTCGGACCAGCTCTCTGTGGTGTTGTTGCTGTGGTGATGAGTGGGGGCGATAACTGTTATGGTGCTGCTCAGTGATGGAACAGGGAAATGAGACGTGGATGCAGACGACACGGTGACAGGCGGCACAAAAGCATCACCAGCTTCAGGCCGAGTCTTTCCCGAATCCCTCTCTGTCATATAAAAAAATGTAAAAACGTGAAGTACATGAAGCAAGCTACTTTTTTACAGTAAGAACTAGACATTCAGATATTCTTTAAAAAAATAATATAAAGAAGCACTATAAACCATATTTATTTGGCGTGTAAGGACAAATTGAAAACTAATGAACAAACAATGATATTAATAAAGCTGTTTTATATAGTGCTTTTTGTAGACTCAAAGACACTTCACATGGCATTATTAATTCACTCTATAGCCTGTGCTCGTAAACTACAACTGTAGCGGCAGCTGTCCTGGGGTAGACTGGCAGAAGCGAGGCAACTAATCTATAACATTGGCCCATTTGACCACCACCAATCATTTACCCAAACACCAGACACATATTACGGCAATGTAGGTGAAGAGTCTTGCATAAGGGCACAATATCTCAGCATTTTACAGCCTCAGTCATCCCACTCTGGCACCTGGTATTCCCGGAGGACCCTCAACACTGTTTAACTTCTGAGGTCTGACGGGATCAGGATTTCATGTGCAGGTGGCGCCGCAACAAACATTTATAGTAGCAAACAATAGGGTTGCATTTATTAATATATATTTTACTCAGGTCAATGAAATTTACCATTGAGGATATTATTTTTTAACTGAAGCATAGACCCAAACACATATTTGGGAAGTTTTTGTACCTCTACTCCTGCTCCGACTGTGCGTCCGGCTTCGTGTGCGGTCCCGGTCCCTCTCCCTGTCTTTGTCTCGAGCTCTGTCTTTACTCCAACTTCGGCTGCGGCTGCGACTGTAGCTGCGCCCTCGTCTGCGATTGTAGCGGTCGCGGTACGAGTCCCTTCTGGGAGGCAGGCGATCGTAATCCCTCTTCCGGTTGCGGTCGTCTCTTCTTCGATCATCTCTTCTATTATAACATGTTACTACATTCAGTATGATTGAGTGGCAGATCATTTTCTATGTATAATCTAGGTAACACAACATCTTAAACTATTACTATTGAAACACCACATTTACTATATACCATAAAAAAAAATACATTTGAAAAGATTCCACACCTGATGTCTCGACTGTATCTAGAGCTGGACTGAGGTGGACTATGAGTCAAACGGCGTGAATTCCTCTTGTCTCGTTCTTCTTCCTGAATTGGCTAAAAACATGTAATACATAAATGATATAGCAATAAGGAACTGCTGCTTCAACATGTAGTGAAAATTAATGAATGTACCTCCTCCTTTTTTGGATCATCTTTCTCAAGTTTTGGGACTTGTGCAGGCTGTTCTGACTGAGGGAGGTAGCTTTTTCCATTTATAGCTACAAAAAGTTTATCCACAAACAGTTGGGTATCTACAATACAATTCAGAAATTAACACAATCCTTATGTTTCTCGCAGTAGTATCAGCAAAAGGCTATTGGTATTTTAAACGGCAATACCTTTCTGTAGAAACACATCCAGTTGGTCAATACAAAGGGCTTTCAGTTCTTTCTCAGTTTTATCTTTTTTCACCAATGCCACGACATATTTGGCGAGAGCAGAGGGGTCGGCGTCACAGCTGTGGAGGAGGAATCTTTAGTACAAAGTGCAATATTGACCCCTAGACTATCCCTTTTGGACGTGTTACCGAAAACAGGCATAGATAGAAAGTAAAACTATCCATAGAAGTTAACACAATATCAAATATGTTGTTCATACTTATTGGGTTACATAATAGTGGATGAAAGACCACGCAGGTTCATCGCTAGCCACTTAGCAGAGATACTTACATAGGCTCAAGCGTTTCAGACAGCCACGATTTCAGCGCGTCTAGATTTTCAATGATCATTTTAGATCCAACCAGAGGTCCCGGGAACTCCAGTCGGGCCTGGCGCTGTCAGCAGTAACTTTATTTATCTGTGTCGATGAGAGCACAGCATTAACCAGTGGGACCAATCGGGTGCTAAAGGCTGCGATAGCTTAACCGCGCTGACGCTGGCTATGTGAAGTTAGCATATGTCTTTCATAGACCTTACTTATATCGTACAGTTCTCTCCAACTATCGAAGTGTAGCTTGTGCGAAACATTCACGGAGCCGTCTGACTGACAGCCGCTTATCCGCACATTCAAGAGGACGTATTATAGTTAAACCCGCAAACAGAGGCATCCACGCTTTATTCCCCCTGTGCTTCAGCACCAGCTCTGCGTCATGGCGTCTATTTACTTCCGCCTAAAGTCCCGTGACTAAATTATCGCGAGGCTATAGAAAATTTATTTTTTATTTTTTATTTTATTCATTCAAGTGTGTTTAAACAATATACGACCATGTAATGATTGCACACAATATACCAATATTGAAAAATGCAGAATTAAAGAACAAGTGGCTCCAAACGAATGGAAATGGGTTTTTTTTTGGTCAGAACAGTGAAAAATGGACTGAGCATTGAGTAATGCAAATACAAAAATGGCAAGAAGTGTGTATGTATTAGTGTGAATAAAATTAACATAAGGGCTTGTTTTGTTTTATAGTAGCATTAGGATCTATTTTTAATACACACCAACCCAGACTAGAGGACTGGGTTGGTGTCGCTGGCACCGCCCTAAGTTGGTTTGGGTCATGGTTCTATAATAATATCAGTTTAGGTCTTACCTTGAAGACAGGAAGTACTTTGTGGAGATTGGAAACTGTGTCTCAGATAATATGGCCCTGACCTGTGGAGAACCACAGGGGTCGGTCTTGGGACCTTTTCTGTTCAAACATATCCATGCTGCTGTTGGGTCAGTTAACACCAGCAATGTGTCCTATCACAACTACGCAGACGACACTCAGATCTGTCTCACTGACTACAGGAGAACATGGGCTAGTGGACTCACTCCTTCACTGTATCCAACAGATCAGTGAGTGGATGCAAAACAACTTTCTTCACCAAAACAGAAATGATTGTCTTTGGGCCCCCAGAAACAAAGAGTGAGCTTCATCTGTCACCTCCAGCCCCTCTCCTTAAAACCTTCAAATCAGGAAATTTTGGGGTAATACTGGGCTCAGACTTGATTTGAATAGCCAAATCAAATCAGTATCATCAGCAGATTTTTTTACCACGTAAAAACATTGTCAGGACATGGGCGTCGGACTGGGGGGGTAAAGGGTACCGAGTACCCAGGGCCCAAGGCGGGGAGGGGCCCTCTAAAGTGTGTCTTTATATTTATATGTATTAGGCATTGTGGTATATTCATATTATTACAATTTGAATGAAAGGGGCCCTGTATAAAAATAACCAACGTTTTAACCTCAGTTTTCCTCTAAAAACAAATGTGTATGCTATATCAGGGCCCTGCCACCCCCTTACAAAAGATCAAATGGTACGACCCACATGTGCGCTTGTTGCTGTGTTGCTGCCGCTGCAGCGAGTTGATTTGTTTGAGCAGCGGCAGAAGCGGGAAAAATAGAAATGTCTTTTCCAAAGAAAGGAAAATCAGGATTTCAGAAAAGAAAAGAAAGACAGGACAGGGAGAAAAAGTGTAATGAGGGCAAGCAATTGCTTACTCAGTTCTTCCACACGAGAGGTGAGTATATAGAGACGTGTTAAGGCCACATCAGGAGAAAACCCAGAGACATTTGTTTCTGTATTCTAAACTCACGGAGAGCTAACAGTGTGCCGTGTACGTGGTAAAAAAAAACTTTATCCAGAGTGACACACACAGACGCGCAGCTGTAAAGGGAGCTCACACACACTGCTGTCCACTTCTCCTTCAAAGGCAGGCAGCAAAGAGTTATTTTCATGTACAACCCTGTACCCTATATTCCCACTATTGTCATCTGTCCGTCCGTGAGTCTTGCAGTCATAAGTCACGGGTCACTCACTGGCCTCTGCATTGGATCATCTAGTTATAACCATACAAATCACACGCCCCCGCACCGATTTGGAGTTTTTTGGTGAAATCTAGTGGTCAAAATAATGTAAATAAGTCTAATGGTCTAAAGGTTTCTAGCTCTACAATTATCTTAGTGTGTAAACAAGGATGAAATTAGACTTTCTGGGTGTGTAAACTATTGCTTTTAAGCCAGAAATGACAACTGACAATCACAGCCCAGACCATGCCCAACTGTAAGCCCCCCTTCTTCTCCACTGGTGCCATTTTTACAGAAAAATGTCAAATGTTTCATGTGGGCGGAGTAAGGCTAGACACAGGTGTTTAGTTGAAAATGGAATAGGCTTATTTCAAAAAAGATTGCATCGATTTGAATTTTGCCACAAAGTCTAAATTGGTGGATAATAATGAACCATAAAAAGTATTTTGTTGTATATTTGTACAATAACAAATAAGTAACTTACCTACTCATGGTCCATACAAATAAGATAAGATATACTATATATTTTATATGAATAGCCATATACACATATCACATAAAGGCATGCAGGCATATACGTAATAGCTATACACTGTAATGATGGAATATAGTATCTGTTTGCAACCCATTAAAGCTACTTTATTTCAGTTTCAGGAAGAGAAGCATCATGGCCAGATGAAGGCACTAGTAGTGAGGGTTTGACAGTGAGGCATGGTGAGCATTTATCAGTCACTGATTGAACTGTTTTCAATAAGTTAGTAAGTTATTACTTTATAAGTTTTACTGTATACACTAATTCTATATCATTTTTGTCTGTATTGTGTCCATGTAGCAGAGGCAGAGGCAGAATTAGAAGAGGATGTAGAAACTGAATTAAGTGATGAAAGGGAAAGCGAAAGTGATGAGAATGTGGAGAGGATTGAGGAGGAAAGAGATGACACCAAGAGACAGAGTAATAATGATGAGGGATTGTCAGAGGACCCAGGATTATGGCCAGAGAATCTCACCGATAAACAAAGGAAAAGAATTGTTCATCTACTAGCCAGTGATGGTGGTTCAAAAACAGGCAATACCATATATTATATATAAGAAACGTGTAGTGGGGGCCCATTGAGACTGTTTGTACCCGGGGCCCAGAATTTGGTGCTACCCCCCTGTGTCAGGATAAAAAAAAATAGTGTCTAAAGCAGACTTGGAGATTCTTATCCATACATTTGTCTCCAGTAGGTTAGACTACTGTAATGGCTGCTCACAGGTCTCTCCAAACAGGATGAAGTACAGTATACTCAAAACGCTGCAGCACGAGTCCTGAGTAGAACAAGGAAGTATGATCACATTAGCCCAGTCCTCAGGTCTTTGCACTGGCTTCTTGTGGCTCAGAGAATAGACTTTATAGCATCTCTGCTTGTGTACAAGTCTCTCCATGGCCTTGCACCAAAGTACATAAGTGACATAGTGCCATAGGAACCAATTTAGACTCTGAGGAGCACAGGGACTAGACTCCTGCTGGGGCCCAGAGTCAGAACTAAACATGGGGAGGCTGCTTTTCAGATTCATGCCGCTAAAATCTGGAGTAATCTTACTGAATATGTGAGACAGGCCTCTTCTGTGACAATGTTTAATCCAGTTAATCCAGGTTAAAAACAGTTCAATCTGAAGAGACCAAAGACACGATAAATACATTAAAATGATTTATTTGTTTGGCGCATTGACCCCGGCAGTGACACTTGCAGCTATGAGATCGATTGCAGCTGAGATGATCTCAGATCCCCCGGGGTCAATCACTGGTGGTGGCTAGAGTACGGTGTGAATGGGGCGTAGGCGGAGCAGGAGCCGGAGTGGGAGCCTAGAGCGGGAGCCAGAGCGGGAGCCAGAGCGGGAGCCAAGAGCCAGAGGGGGTGCTGGGGAGGTGGTGGGTGTTTAAGAGCCTCAGGAAGCGTTGTTTGTCAGGAAGTGGCTGCCTTTTAAACTGCCCGCTTTGCTCTGAGAGGGTTGGCAGGAGGCTGGCCTGGCTGTGTGATTGGCTGAGGCTCGAGGCTGGATGAGCTGTGTGATTGGCTGAGGCTCGAGGCTGGCAGGCACTCGGTCTTTCAGTCTGAACATCCGCTTGAGCTTCATTTCAATCTGAAGAGACCAAAGACACGATAAATACATTAAAATGATTTATTTGTTTGGCGCATTGACCCCGGCAGTGACACTTGCAGCTATGAGATCGATTGCAGCTGAGATGATCTCAGATCCCCCAAAAGAGGAAGCCACGCTATGTGTGCCGGGGAATGCGCAGGCCTCCCGTGGGAAGCTGCCTATCTGGAGGCGTGGGAGCCTTGCATCGGGGCAGCATTGCATCGGGGCAGCATTGCATAGAGGCTGCATTGCATGGAGGCTGCATTGCATAGATTGCATAGAGGCAGCATTGCATAGAGGCAGCATTGCATAGATTGCATGGAGGCAGCATTGCATAGAGGCAGCATTGCATAGATTGCATGGAGGCAGCATTGCATAGAGGCAGCATTGCATAGAGGCAGCATTGCATAGAGGCAGCATTGCATGGAGGCAGCATTGCATGGAGGCAGCATTGCATAGATTGCATAGAGGCAGCATTGCATGGAGGCAGCATTGCATAGAGGCAGCATTGCATGGATTGCATAGAGGCAGCATTGCATGGATTGCATAGAGGCAGCATTGCATGGAGGCAGCATTGCAGCATTGCATGGAGGCAGCATTGCATAGATTGCATGGAGGCAGCTGGTGCTATGAGACTTGGGTGGCATCTCTGACTGTCACCCCCCTGACCCAGAAATGGATTAAAGGGTAGAAAATGGATGGATGGATGGCATGGAGGCAGCATTGCATAGATTGCATGGAGGCAGCATTGCATAGAGGCAGCATTGCATAGAGGCAGCATTGCATAGAGGCAGCATTGCATCATTGCATGGAGGCAGCATTGCAGCATTGCATAGATTGCATAGAGGCAGCATTGCATGGAGGCAGCATTGCATAGAGGCAGCATTGCATGGATTGCATAGAGGCAGCATTGCATAGAGGCAGCATTGCATCATTGCATGGAGGCAGCATTGCAGCATTGCATGGAGGCAGCATTGCATAGATTGCATGGAGGCAGCATTGCATGGATTGCATAGAGGCAGCATTGCATAGAGGCAGCATTGCATCATTGCATGGAGGCAGCATTGCATCATTGCATGGAGGCAGCATTGCATAGATTGCATGGAGGCAGCATTGCATAGAGGCAGCATTGCATGGAGGCAGCATTGCATGGAGGCAGCATTGCATGGAGGCAGCATAGCATGGAGGCAGCATAGCATGGAGGCAGAATTGCATGGAGGCAGCATAGCCTGGAGGCAGCATTGCGTGGAGGCTGCATTGCCTGGAAGCAGAATTGCATGAATAGGATACAGAGAATATGCGGGGGTGACAAATCCGCACGCTCTGTAATGATTATGCGTGTGTGAAGCGTTGGCCCTTGGAGCGTGCGGAGGGTTTCTCGCGCACAGACCGCTTCGTGAGGGTGCATGTATGACGTAGGCCGCAGGGGATCTGTGGGAACAGACACTCACTGAATGAGCGGCTATGTGATCATGCGTGCGTGGTGGATGCATGAAGTGAAGAGTAAATGCGTGTAATCGCAGAGCTGATGCGGGCTCTGCGTGTTGAGAATGTGGAGCAGCAATGTAGAGAGCTTTCTCATACAAGATCTGCTATATTTGAGCATGCGTGTGTCAGCGTATGATACAGAGAATATGCGGGGGTGACGAGGCCGCACGCTCTGTAATGACTATGCGTGTAGAAGCGTGGGCCCTTGGGGCGTGCGGAGCTGCCTCTCGCGCACAGGCCGCTTCGTGAGGTGCGTGTATAGCGTGAGCCGTAGGGGGTTATGCAGAGAAGCTTCTCTGCACAGAGCGCTGCGGTGAGCATGAATGTATGATGTAAGACAAGGTGATCATATGCATGTCCGGATTGAAGTGCAACGATGTTGAGAATGCTTATGTGAGAGAAGAGCCTTAGCCACCACCAGAGTATTTGATAATTACCTCAGATTGAAGAGGGAGCGCTGAGCAGTCAGAATAGTGTCAGTGTTTAGTCTGATAGAGGATGAGGCAGGACCAAGCCGTGGACCATTGACCCATTTGCTGTAGGGAAGAGTGAGGAAGGCCCAGCAGGCTGGAGTGCGGCGGCTATTCTAATCCAGCGGCCGGTATTGGAGAATCGGGAGATCACAGGAGACCGGCCGGATTTATTAAATGGGCTTGGATACATTGCGCAAACATGACGTCATTTGACAGAGAGAGAAATAGCAGCCCATCTGAATCTCCTCTCCGTGCATGGAGGAGTGCATTTCATCAGGTGTTTATCTGGACAGGGGAAAAAAATGCATAATGAAAGTGTGACGGCACCTTCCTTTCGGAGTGTTGAATGCAGGGATTATAGTGATAGGGGTAATAAGTCCTTGGGGCCAGGGTGCAGCTAACCACTGGCCTTGATATGACCCCCAAAAACCCACGGACTGAGCCGCGTCCGTGAAAAAGAAATAAGTAAGTGGAAGAGGCGGTGCCATCATGAAAGACGCCGTTCCGGCAGGCAGCAGCTGAAGCTGAGGTCAGCGCAGCACCTGCGAACAGGAAAACAGGGTTGCAGAGCGCGCAGGAGCCTGGGGATGAACCACGGCCTGAGGAATGACGTGCACTGCGAGGATGAGGCGGCCCAGCCGGAAGAGCAGCACCTGTTTGGGACGTGACAGAGGACAGGACGGACCAAGAGACCTTGGTCCTCCTCCTCCTATCCCCTCTCTCTCCATGTCCAAGCTGAGGGAGCATCTACGAAACCTTCGATGAGGGTCATCACGTGTGCCGGGTGGCCAGTGTGACGGCCAGACGCCTGCCCGGCTTGAGATGGACGAGCCCCGCGTAGGAAGGGCATGCCCCGCGCGGGAATGACAGGGCCTATTGCTACGAGAATAATTCGCAAGGCGCGGCCGTGCAGCAAGAGCGCCCTGCAACATAAGGGAGAGATTAAACAAGAACCGACCGAATCTCCTTCTGGACAGGAGAGAGCTATCTTGATGCAATTAGGAACTCAGAACGACGGCAAAGAGCGGCCACGGAGCAGAATAAGTACGAACAGAGCGGCACCTGAGAACGAGCAGTAGAGCGAGCAACCGTTACGATGACTCAGAGCCATGAGAGTGCGGCAGAGAGCATGTGACCGTTGTGGATGCTGCCCCCCGACTCCACGCGGAGAATCGGAGAGAGATCGCCCGTATGAGGCGTAGGGCGGATCAATTGCACGCGGTAGCAGTGAGGGAAGGCCAGAGCACGTGGAGGATCCGGAGCAAACCGGCCGGACGAGGGGAGAACATGCAAAACTCCGCACGGAGGTGGAACAAAGCATAAAACCACTTTTGATAATCGACGCCAGCCTGCTCAGGATAAAATGAAACACACTGCTAATGACCTGGGGCAACGCGTCCCTATGAGCAATATTTACTGTACACGGAGGGGGCTCGAGGATTTCAGTACGAGGGCCGCTTCAGTCCGCCAAACTAGTCCCGGGGCCGACACGTAGGCGAAACCGCATTGGACTGGTCCGAACTTTAGGACAAACTATGAAAGAACTGAAGTTGGCTGATGACGACCTCCTGTCGTCTCGCTAGCTACGGATTAGCGGAGATTCGAGCCCGACCGGGAACAACAACATCTCAGAACGGGTTACGACACGTCTATATTGGCTGCGCTGAAGTAGAATGGACGACACCGAATAAGTATTTACGAACCCAGATTCCCTTGGCCTCAGTTGGAACAGGTTGTCTTGTAACGGAATAGCCCGACGACCAGCGAAGGTAACACACATCATTCATTGCAAAGCATCTAATCATAATTACGATTAAACTAAGGAAAGTTTGACGAGAGCAGAGACAGCCCTGATGAGAACTGAGCGAAGCGAGCTTAAGACTATAAAACACATACGCATATACATATACATAATATATATGCACGCACGTATACTACGTACCTACATGTGCATGCACATATACAAGTCGAGTCCCTCCATGGCCTCGCACCAACATATAGTAGAGACATGTTAGTCCCATATGAACCAGCCCGGACTCTGAGGAGCACAGGGACTGGACACCTGTTAGTGTCCAGAGTCAGAACTAACGTGGGTAGGCTGCCTTTCAGATTCACACTGCTAAAATCTGGAACAATCTTCCTGAAGATGCGAGACAGGCCTCCTCTCTGACAATGTTTAAGACAAGGTCAAACATATATTTCTATCCTTCTTTTTAATGTTCTGTGAATATCTATGATTTTAATGCTTTCTTATTTTGTTCAGCACTTTGAATTGCCTTGTGTATGAATTGTGCTATACAAATAAACTTGCCATGCCTTGCTATACAACATGCATTCACATACGCCATTATGCGCGTGACAGGGCCATGAAGCTAAACGCACTTTCTTCACCTTATGGGAGCGTCCAAATCAGACAGGCGTCAAAACTGCAGATTCCTCTTCACCCTGAGCGAGCAATATTACATTAGGCCTTTGTCTAGGGAGCAACCAAATCAGAGAGGCGCCAGAGCTGCAGATTCCTATTCACCCTGAACGTGCAATATGTCGTTAAGCCTCGGAGACCGATACATTAAGCCTTAATACGAACAATTCGGGCCTTAGAAGGAGACTGATTAGGGAAGACTCCAAAATGTAATTTTGCATGCCACCAAGCACGCTGGAGTTTGAACTGTCTCACGGAGGAGACTTGAGCAGCAGTGACACGGAGCCTGGACGTGTTTAAGGAGCGGCGCCAATAAGCACTGACGAGCAGATCAGAGCGGGTCAAAGCAGGAACAGACCCCAAACAAACGATGGCACGGGACAATCACGGGCCCGGGACAAGCACGTACGACGCAACCACAATGCGATTCATACGGGCAAACAGACCATGTCACGCCAGCGTGCGCCGCTTGTCTCTGTGAGCCAGGTTACATACGTGTCTGAAAGAGCCGAGCCGTAGAGAGGTGCAGCCTGGGAGCGGCAGCGGCAGGAACAGCAGCAGCGGCACGTGTAGTAGTAGGAGCAGCAGGAGCAGGCAGCAGCAGGAGCGGCAGCAGGAGCAGGCAGCAGCAGGAGCGGCAGCAGGAACAGGCAGCAGCAGGAGCGGCAGCGGAACAGGCAGCAGCGGGAACAGGCATCAGTAGGAGCAGCAGGAGCAGGCAGCAGGAACAGGCTGCAGCAGGAGCGGCAGCAGGAACAGGCAGCAGCAGGAGCGGCAGCGGAACAGGCATCAGTAGGAGCAGCAGGAGCGGCAGCAGGAACAGGCAGCAGCAGGAGCGGCAGCGGAACAGGCAGCAGCAGGAGCGGCAGCAGGAACAGGCAGCAGCAGGAGCGGCAGCGGAACAGGCATCAGTAGGAGCAGCAGGAGCAGGCAGCAGGGACAGGCAGCGGTAGGAGCAGCAGGAACAGGCAGCAGCGGGAACAGGCATCAGTAGGAGCGGCAGGAACGGGGAGCAGGCATCAGTAGGAGCAGCAGCGGGAACAGGCATCAGTAGTAGCAGCAGGAACGGGGAGCAGGCATTAGTAGTAGCAGCAGGAACGGGGAGCAGGCATCAGGGAACAGGCATTAGTAGGAGCAGCAGGGACCGGCAGCAGCGGCGGTCAGAGAACCATGCCCATGGTTGTTTAAGAGCCTCAGGAAGCGTTGTTTGTCAGGAAGTGGCTGCCTTTTAAACTGCCCGCTTTGCTCTGAGAGGGTTGGCAGGAGGCTGGCCTGGCTGTGTGATTGGCTGAGGCTCGAGGCTGGATGAGCTGTGTGATTGGCTGAGGCTCGAGGCTGGCAGGCACTCGGTCTTTCAGTCTGAACATCCGCTTGAGCTTCATTTCTGTTTAGCTGTGCATACAACTGAGGGATTTTATATATCCTTTATTTTTATTTTTAATGTACTGTTTTTATTTCAATTCCTTGTGTGACTGTTTCTATCTTGGTTTGTTCAGCACTGAGTTGCCTTGTGTATGAATTGTGCTATACAAATAAACTTGCCTTGAAGTTTGAAACATGTTTTAGTTTTGAAATGTGTGCATAGCCTACACTATCGGCTGATGACAATTTAAATCATGTTTTTGAAATGTAAATGTTAAAATTCTGACATTCACTTTTGAGTCCCAGACTGTTCTAGTGTAGTTATAACAAATGCAATTCAAAAATTATTAGTGATAGATGCTACTTCAAAATTAAATGTGTTTTAAGTATTTTGTTCCTAATTTCATTGTTTTATGACAAGACCAAACAGCTTTCATTTGTGTATAAACTATGAATACACAATTTTAACGTATACCTGAATCAACAAGGATGAGCCATGAAGGTGCCTGACAAGTGGAAGCCTCAACAAAATGCAAGCAACTTTTCTCATACATCTTTTATTGGGCCACGTGTAACAATGTTTACAGCTTGCTCAGGACATTCGCCAGAACCTCCTTGTTGAGGCATGAGTAATTTACCCACTTAATCAAAAATCCTATACCAGCTCAAACAATCTCCACCCATCAACTGGACTATACAGAAATATTTTTTCTGTAATTTCTCTGTATTTCAAAAGTTCATGTCTTTTATTGTTTTCCAGTTTTACTGGAGTGTGTACATACATTAAATACAATTGATCACTTACATGTTCCTTCAAATGCCATAATCCAACTTTTCACATTTCTTGCTCATCAGTTCTTGCACACATACCTTTGTCATCATACATCATGATAAATACCAGTGGGGATTCAGAGTAAATTTCAGCCAGTGTTCATATTCTCCTCTGATTTGAATATCAATGATTAAACTTTTGGTAATTCACTTATGCTGGGATACTGATATCCCATGACTGATGCTACCACAGTCATTTTATTGCCCATTTCCTTCCTCACATCTTTCCCTGTTGTATGTATTGTACCATTTTAGACCCATCAGGGATTAGATCTTAACCTGGCAAGAGCCAGATTGATGATTGTGTAGAACTCTAACGCGTGTTTGTGAACTCACAAATACCGCGAGAATTCAGCTTGCAGGCAAGGTTAATTAGATCTGTCAGAAAAGCCACATTACATATGTACATTTACAGATAAACCAACTGATCCATTATACATAAGTCCTTCGGGCATAGCCAAAAATGTACTCAAAAAATGGAAACATGGATAAACTCATATAACACACACACATATATAACATTCATTGTCAATACATTGTAAATAATTACTTTTTCTATATAACTAAAGAATGAACTGACTATGACGCCTTCATCTAGTAATATAAAAATATATAGAAAAGAGTAAAATAGACATGTACTGTAAACCTCATTTAACTAATTTGATCAAGGGCGTTCAGCTTATTAAAAGAATGGTTAAAAATCCTTTGCTGCTGAGAAAAACTCTTCAGTCAGCATAAAAAACCTCTGAAAATTGTATATAAAAAGTCTATAAACACAACATACTAATATATACAAAAGTACTAATCTAATATTCCCTCTTTACAAACTTGAGGTTTATGGGGGACGCTGGGCAGAGCAGGCCGTGGGTTTTTGCTTTTACATACTCAGTCTTTGGAGAAACGTCAATGCGAAACTTCTGAATAATCTGGGAGAGAAGGAAAAAGTATTTGTTAATGTACAGCACTAAACTTTAAATCCAATATGACTAATCTGATTGAGTGCATATTCATAAAACCAAAGAATTTAAGTTTACGGTTTTATACTGCTATAAAAAAAAAAAAAAACATAACTTTCCATGCATCCGGAAAATGCAGTTTTTTATTACATATATTTATTATATATGAATATGTGATTACCCTGGTAAGAGCAAGGTGCATTTCCAACTCTGCAATCCTCCTGCCAATGCAGCTCCTGATGCCGTAGCCAAAAGGAAGGGAGCCAAAGTTGTCCACATGGTCCGTCGTGTCTTTTCTTACCCAGCGATCTGGTCTGAAGTCCATTGCATCCACAAAGCTTTCTTCCTCCAGAGAGGTTGAGTAATGACAAAGGGCCAACTGTGTCTAATAAAAAGCCAAATGCAAAAAATGTGCAGGCCTCAATGAAAACAGCATGGTACAAAGTAATGCATGACTCAGGAAAGATCACATTACACATTACAATGTATTGCTTTGGCCGTTGCTAGGCCTTTGTCTCTTGAGACCATGAAAAACTGTAATAAACGTAATTCTAATAACTTTTACCCCTTTAGGGATGAAGTATCCGCCCACCACCAAATCATCTTGAGTAATTCGACCATTGCCTGGGAGAACTGGAAAAAGCCTGCACACAAGTAATCGCACAAGTAATTAATTGTTTTCTCATAAAGTCTCAGCTTCATGTTTAAAACCAAATATTTGAATTGTGTCTTCTACCGGAGCGTCTCTTTGACCAGGCCGCGGATGAGAGGAAGTTGGGGGACATCATCAGCTGAAGCAACTTTGTCCGGTCCTATAACGTTCTCCACTTCTGTATGGATTTGTTGCTGTATGTGCGGGTAACGTGCTAATAAATAAGCAGCCCAGGAAAGGGTGAAAGAAGTCTGTAAAAGAGAGATTAAAAAAAAGTTATCATTGCAAGCACATCCACAATACTCTATAGTATAGTTAGGAAGGCATTTTATTTCATCATTTTTTGTTTCGATTAGTGAAGAAAACATTCACTGAAAAAATATGGATCATAATTACTTTGCCTCAATTAAATAGGATCATTTGTTGAAATATGAGAAATTTGGCACAGAACTGATTCCAGCAGTGTTGGCACAAACAAGTTTCTATCTGGTGCCAACACTGGTGTGAAGACTGCCCAGTCTGCTGTGAAAACTGAGCAGTTTGAAATAAGGATTCAGGATTTTTTGTTTTTTTTTAAATACATTGAAAAGTGAATTTGCAAAAACAGCTATTATCGGTTTTGATGATGTGGAACACTAGAGGAATACAACTGTTTGACATGTTTTGTTTTTGGCAATAAATGTGAAAGAATTTGCTCAAAATGGGGAGAAATGTTATCTGAGTGTTTAAAAAACTGGCCTCAAATGTCTGTCTTTGAAAACAAAAATCAATTATAATATTCATACTTCATTAATATGATGAATCGATTACTCATTTACTCATATGTAATAATAGATGGAATTATCAAAAGCTGCAGCCTTAGTTACAATAATAAATTGGCAAAATGAATACATGAAAAAGACAATACAGAAAGTTTTGACCATGGCACTGTTAACTGTGTGTGAACGTTTTTACTATTTAACCATCGCAAAAGCAAATTAGAGAGAAGTTAAGATCAAAAAGAGAAGAGCTCTTGAAGTTGACCGCATTTTAGTCATAGCACTTCGTCACCTTGTTCTTCCTCTGGTCCCCCCACGGATTCTGTCACCACTCATTCCACATTTAACAACTTGATCCTAATCAACCCCAACTGGGACAGATGCTGGCAACACCTCACACAAAGCACTTCAGGAATCACATGACAAATCAAATCGGGCCTAAAAAAACGTCTCCTTCTCCTTCTCTCCTCCCCCCACATGGCCCTTGTGTTTCCAGACATCCATCAGCTTCTCTGTTGGCGCTCCTCCGTTGGTTGCTCTCTGAGAATCTTGTCTGAAAGCCCAGCCCAGCGCTCCCCCTTAGCCTCACGTTAGCTGGTTAGTGCTATAACTCTGGTTCAGGCTAACGTGTCTTGACAGCTCTAGTGTGTGCAGAGTAAAGGCAAATCGGCACAGTCCACCCCCCGCCAGGGCATGGCCGTTGTAACAAGTTCAACAAAAACATACACAACCTTTTATCCCATGGCCCCCGCTTCACACAAAACACTCTACACCCCCCGTTTCTGATTAATCTGACATTACCCAAAACAAATTAAGACTTTGATGCACATATGGCCATTATGATGTCAACATGCAGTCCACAATTCCATCTAAACAACAAGAAGCAATAATTGGGTTTGTGTATAGAGGTAATGGTAATATCGCACATGAAGAAATGGCTGCTGTTCTAATTGAAATATATGATAAACAATAAATACGAAATATGAATATTATCATAGATTGAAAAAAATATTAGAAAAAAAATGGAATGAAAAACAACCTATTATTGCCCCCCCGGGATCTCAACAGACAATGGCAAATGATGAGAAACTAAATCTGGGTGAGAACAATCTTAACAGTGGGATACTGTGTAACCTCTGATTCACTGCGCTGACCTGACGCTGGCACAGCTACACAGGTCTGAATGTGGCGCCAGAAACCCAAGCCCTGGAAGTGCAGCCGGGCAACACACACGTGCAATCTCCTCTGCCAACGCCAGACAGAAGCTCTCCTCACCTCCACTCGAATCACCTGACACCACATCAATCACTCGCATTATTAGACGGAAAAATGTACTCTTCTCCAACCAACCAAAAAATATTGAGGTAGAAACTAAGAACTAACCAGGATTACAGACAGTACAAACTTTTTGTCCAAACATTTGAGATTGTAACTACACACCAACAGACCATTTGTATATAACAGGCTATGCAAGTATTCTACTTTAAAATGTATCACCTGATATCATGTGAAGGCCTTTAAATATCACTTTAAATGCATAATAATGTTTTTTATTTTATTAACTAATTCACAAATCTTTGACAAAATCCACATATTAACTCTGGCATCTAAAGATTTGTGCAAACATATAAATCACATGTTAATCCAAACTAAAACTAATATTGAAACTATATATTATACCCACTATAGCAATTATATAGATACTAAATAAACAAGAAGAACTTGTTTAAGGCCATGTGACCCCCATAAAAAGTGTTATTTTGAGTTAATATAAAAAAAAAAATCTACATTTTTAAATGTGCATTTACACCTGCTATAATTACTGCTTACAACACCTTTTTATGTAACTGCTTCAACAATGGGCTGAATGTGTACTTTATGGCAAGATAAGTTAAACAAATCTTTGAGTAAGTTTATTTTTCTTTTCTCTGTACCGTTAGGTATTAGCTGGTGCCACATTGAACATACAGACCGTGTCAACTCCAGCCAGGAGCATTTCCGTCACGTTGGCGTAGATTTCCTCCATGTCCATCTCCATGGTGATGAGTAAATGTGTGAGTATCCCTCCCTTAACCTCCTCTCCGCGCTCCAGCTGGGCCTTGATTTGAGCAAGCCTCTTGTCGACGTGAATGTGGCCTAGGATTACCAACAAAACACAAGGAAGTGGTGGGAACTGGGAAGGCGTAGTGTGTGAAGGGAAAGCAAATAGATAAAAAGAAAAAAAGTTATGCAACAGGAAGACCCCATAAAGCATCCATTATCTGGAGCTTAAAATGCCCATTCTCGAGTCCCCAGTCCAAGGTTATAACAAATGTGAACCCCAGTCAAATGATAAGCAACCAAATTTAAAGATAACGCCTAACTTTTTTTTGTTTCATGAATACATTATATTTGCGCCAACAGAAAGATTCTTGTTTAAAAAACATTTTTGTGAACAAATCAAACTACAGCAAGCAGTCTTCATCTGGTTGGAGAATATTGCATCTTTTACAAACGGAGATCTGATTGGATGAGTGAGTGCTGGTATACTCCCTTTTATCTTTTATGCTTTTAATGTTTTTCTTGTTTCTGCTTTGAGTTGCCTCGGTTTGAACTGTGCTATACAAACAAACTTGCCTTGCCTATACACTGAAAAAGCTGATTTAAGATGTGACCGAGGCCAAAAATATATGAATGTGAAAACTATTTTGAGAGCTAGAAACCTAGTTACATGGATTTACAAAGTAATTGTTGTGGTTTCAAAGTTGTACTCCAGCATTCAAACCAAATTACAATATTTTTGCCAATTTCTTATGACTTACTGAATCTGAAAAGGCCGTCCCAAGAGAGGCAGAACTCCTCCCATGGTTTGGGGATGATGGGTCGGAGCCATTTGGGAATCGCCCCGGCGTACATTGTTGTCTTGAAGGAGCTGAACATGAGATGCAGAGCGCTTATGTAGTCTTGTGTTTCTTTTGGAATTTCATTTTGCAGACAGCCCAGTCGACACTCATACAAAATGGCTGCCACTCCTGAAATTAAAGAATAGAAAATAAGAAAAACTTTGTAGTAAAACCAGGAAGTTACAGTAATTACTCAGAACTATATATATGTAGTAATTTCTTCAGGAACCTTCCATGGCGTATTTAAAGAAGAGATCGTTTATGTTGAAGACAGTGGCTCCGTCGGGCTCCTGAGAGCGCAGGATGTCAAGTCTCATTATCAGGTCATCTACAACACCGTTCACATCATCGGAAAAGACTGCAACATCTCGTGGACGCATTATGAGTCGTCTGAGAACACTGCGCATCTTCAGCCAGTCCTCTCCCTCTCTGAAAAACAGTACAATATAGAGTTCACTGACAAAACAGATAAGAGGCATTAGAAAAATATTGGAAAGGCCTGTGCCCTTTACCCTTCATCAAGTAGTATTTTGAATAACCACATCTATTTTAGTGCCATACACAAATTTCACCATTTCTTGAGCAAATCCTTTAAAATGCACAGCCAATAATGAAACATGTTGAAGATTGTAGCTAAAAGGAATATAAATTGACACATTTTCAAAACAGAGTAATGAATTTTTTGAAAATTAGCTCTTTCATAAATGTAATGGAACACTATATTCATGCTCAAAACATATGACCAAAAGAAAAGATGGCGCTTGATTGTAGTCAGTATGTATTGTATCTCAGAAAACAAAAAGAAACACCAGCAGAACTGTGCAGAAGCAGTGTTCACATGGGACAGCAGGTGCTGTTTGTCACTCCTCTGTGGATTATTGTTGAGGTGGACTCACGCCGAGATCAGTCCAGTGGAGCGGCCCCTCATGTCCCTGTACTCCTTCCATGACTCCATGTTGGCTCTCTGTGGTGCAACACCCTCTGCCCTCAGCACCTGGGCAACCAACTCACGGTCCGCAATGGAGACCACCAGCTGTGGCCCAAAGCGCGACTTGAAGATTTTCCCAAATTTCTTCTGATGGTCCATCTGTGGGGTTGAATGCACAGAGAATTTGCATTACTATAGATCTTGGTTTAGGTGTACTTTTTACCATTTAAAAATACATGTATTAATTAAACTACTTAAATGTGTATTATCATTCTGAGGGGTTTATTGTGCAACTTTTAGAAATGATTACATTTCCTTTACAAATAAAAAAACTAAAAACCCCAAATAAAAAAATAGTTACACAAAACGTTTGTTTTGTTTAGTAGTTTTACACCATAATGATATAAAATCCATGGAACAATTATGCACAATTATGTGTCTTCTTGCGTTTTTCATAATGTTATGTTGTTTTAAAAAAAATATAGTAATAATAAAAAAATAAACATTGAATTCACGAATACACATAAATAAAAATCACTACATTTTCAAATCTGCCAGGCCAAAAACAGATAAGCGTCGGCTCACGTTCTCACGTTCTCAAAGTTCAGAAGCGACGTGATATACAATGCGCCTGATTTGCGGTTGCCTGGTGCGCTTTTACGCACAGGGGGACATTTACGCATCACTTTCAGATCTGGTTTTGAAGAATAAATGACCTGTATTTCGTGTATTCTGGCAAAGCCATCCCTCCAGAAGAACTCGACGAGGTTGGCCCAAGTGCTGGGGCCAGGCATCTCCTGCAGGCTCCTCACAGCAGTCTGTTCCGCCGCGTCCCGCGTGAGGAGCTCGGGCATGTCCGCCTGTGCAGCTGCGGGGATCCCCAGAGCCTCACTGGTCGCGGACTTGTGCAAAGCCCGTGAAGGGAGCCACAGCTGCCGAGTGCCGTGAACATTCTTCCAGCAGACTCTCGTTAACTTGTTGAGGCTGACCATAGTGTCTCTAGGAGAGTGTAGTCCAGTTCACATTTGCGTGTCGTAGATGCACGTGCAAAGTGAATCCCTCCTGTGTTTCAATGTGACGTTAGATTTCCATTGATTGTGGTTTTGTTTTAAAACCATGGCTTGTACAATCTTGCACCGTGGAAGTGGATTGGATGGCCACTTACAAAAATGGGAGGGATGAGTCTTTTTAAGGTAGTGGGCGTTACATCCCCAAATGCTGCAGGCTCCGCTGGTGAGGGATCTCAACGTGCCAAAACACGGTTACATCACAAATGTACGCAGCTCATTGCAGAAACTAGACAACTGTATTATGCAAGTTACGGAACTTTAATAACCACATATATACAACTCAGATTAACTTGACTGAGAAATGGGAGTGACAACACTATATATTCTATACGAAGATATGAAAAACAAATATTATGCTCAATTTTATTCAAGCAATTTGCACAATGGCCTTAGATCAGGGCTGGACTGGCCATCGGGCGTACCGGGCAATGCCCGAAGGGCCGATGCCCATATTTGGGCCGGTCTGTTTGCCTCATACAGAAAACATGTTTGTGAAAAGTGTAAATCCATTGAAAACTGTTTGAGGGGAGCGCGCGTGTCCGCGGGGCACCTGCTGTATGTACTCGAACGGGATTCCACCGCCTCAGCAGCCGCAGTGTTCCCGCATCCAGCGGCTCTGAGCTGGACGCAGGAACCGCTCACCGGGAACCGCTCACAACACAACACTGTGAGCGCGTAGCCGCAACGTGACCATGTACCCAAGACCATAAACGCGCACAGGACCATGCATGTCTTTTCGTAATTTGTGCACCCAATAAATACACCGCTGCAGAAAACAGCCCGCGTCTCCCCTCTCCTCTAAATTAAAGCTTGGGTACCTAAATTTTCCATTGCATTAAAAGTTCATGTTTGAGCCCAAAAGTAAAATGTTGTGAACAGATTAAACAGATTTAGAGCCAGCTAATGGCTGACAATATGCATTTCAGAAATTTTTCATCCCTGTAACAAACAATAGTATTGTCTGTGCCCACCTCCCTCACTTTGAGACATGTTCATTACCCTCTTGTAATGTAGACTATTGCTCTTTATTTTATTGTTGAAACTGCAGACATCCTGATCCTCTACAGTATTTGCTTCCACATACTGTATAAACCAGGGGTCGGCAACCTTTAGTGCCCCTAAAGTGGCTCCTGGAGCCTTTTAAAAAATGTCTGAAAATGGAGTGGGAGGGCTATATTTTATTTCTAGTTTCAATGTGGTTTCTGTAGGAGGAAAAACATTCTTAAGTGCGCACGGATCCCAAAGATACAGAGAGTCGATAAGACTGGACTAAAAATGAGAAGAACATTTGCTTTCAGTCAATGAGGAAGGGACTGCTTCATGTTTGCGATGTAATGAAAAGTTTTGTTGCCACGGGAGGAACAATGAAGCTTTAAATACACTGTTTCACTGAAGGATTCATTCATCATAAAGTCAGAGCACCTATTTTAAGACTTCGAATACCTTTGCAAAGACTGTGAAAGAAAAGGCCATTAAGGACATTCAGCTCCAGCAAACCATTGATGTGTTGGATTTGGACAGTTCAGCTCCAGCAGATTTATTTACTGTATTTGTACTTCAGCCAGAGTTGTCAGTAGTGTCATTCCTCCCAGGACAGCACGGCTGCAAATGAAAATACACATTTTATAATCATGAATGGTTTTTATGTGTTTAAGCCTTTACTTGTCATTTTAGATATTCTCTAATATACTAATGTAGCTAAGGTAGCTAATGTTAGCTAATACAGCTTCAGCCCCTGTTACCATTTCATATAAGCCTTAACAACGCTATTTTTTTTTTTTTTTTTTTGTTCAAATATGGGCTCCTTGAACCTTTGATTGCCTGGGCCGCTAAAAAGGAAAAATGGCCCGGGCCGGTTTTTTGTCCCTGTCCAGCCCTGCCTTAGATATCCGCTTGCCTTTTCTATCCTCCCTAAAGCTTAATCCACTGGAATAATTACTCTGTGGGGCCTTTCCATCTTTCGCTAATGAGTCGGGCAGCACTTATTAGCCTCTCTTCATTCTCCTCGAATGAATTCATGAGGTTTTACCTCCTTTCCATTCCCATTAAGTCTCAAGTTCTATAAGAAACGCAAAAATGATTAAACAAAGGCACAATCAGAGGGTATTCATTTTGTTTTTTTTCACAGGGAAGTTGAGGATAGGAGAGGCTATAGTTATTCGCAAATAAACTTCAACTCAGCCTTTTTACACATGCCTGAAGGAGAACAAAAACAA